AATGTCCAGTCCTCACACAGTCCTGTCCTCTCACTGTCCTCACACAGTCCTGTCCTCACACAGTCCTGTCCTTACACAGTCCTGTCCTCACACTGACCTGTCCTCACATTATCTTGACTTCACACTGTACTGTCATTACAATGACTTTTCCTCACACAATCTTGTCCTCACACTGTCCAGTCCTCATACTGTCGTGTCGTCATACCTTCCGGTCACCACAATGTTTTGTCCTCAAACTGCCCTGTTCTCAACCTGTCCTCACACTGTCCAGTCCTGACACTGTCCTCTCCTCACACTGACCTGTCCTGATCCTGTCCGTTCTTCAAACTGTCCAGTCCTCACATTGTCCTGTCCCCACACTGTCATGCCGTAATACTTTTCTGTCACTACACTGTTTTGTTCTCAAACTGTTCTGGCCTCCTCCTTGTCCCCTCCGCTCCAACATCAGCAGCCGTGCCTTCAGCCACTATGCTTCGAGGCTCTAGAACCGCCTTCCTCACTCCCTTCGTCTCGCCCTCTCTCTTCCTATTTTCAGGTCTCTGCTGAAGACCTTTCTTTTCCACCACGCCTTTGGTCATCTACCCCCCCCCGGCTCGGTCCCCGGGATCCGTTACTGTGAAGCGCTCTGAGATGCCATCTGACGTGGAGGGCGCTATATAAATCTAAGTTGTTGTTGTTGATGTCCTGTCCTCAGAAGTACTGTCTTCACACTGTCCACTCATCACACTCTCCTGTCCTCACACTCTCGTCCTCACACTGTGTTGTCCTCACAATGTCCTGTCCTCACACTGCCATGTCCTCAAACTCTCCTGTCCTCAAATTTCCCTCTCCTCACACTGTCCTGTTCTAACACTCTCCTGTACTCACACTGAGCTGATCTTTACTCACAGTCTTGACCACACACTCTCCTGTCCTCACACTGTCATCACAATGTCCTGTCCTCACACTCACTCATCCTCACACTGTCATATCCTCAAACAATCCTCTCCATCCACAGTCCTGTCCTCACATGGGCTTCTATCTTTCTTACAAGTCTTTCATGTGGCACTTTGTCAAATGCCTTTTGAAAGTCCATATAAACTACATCAACTGCACTACCTTTATCCCCTCTCCGTTACCTCATCGAAAAATTCTATTAGATTTGTTAGACAAGATTCGCCTTTAACAAATCCGTGTTGTCTGTCCCTAATTAACCCATATTCTTCTAAGTGACCGAGCCTTCAGCTCCCCTCTCGACTCTCTTCCCCCTCCTCGCTCCCTCCCTTCCCTCCCCTCACCCTGACCATCTCCCCCCTCCTCGCTCCCTCCCTTCCCTCCCTCCCCTCACCCTGACCATTTCCCCCCTGCTCGGGTCATGACCCAACTGTGCAGCGCCTTGGGACGTCCTCCTGACGTGAAAGGCGCTTTATAAATGGAATCTTGTTGTTGTTGTAAGTGAAGATTTATTCTGTCCCGGATTATAGTCTCCAGGAGTTTCCCCACTACTGATGTCAGGCTGACTGGCCTGGAGTTCCCAGGTTTGTCCTTCTGTCCCTTTTTGTACAGGAGAGTCACATTGGCCACTCTCCAGTCCTCCAGCACCACTCCTGTGTCCAACTAAGATTGAGAAATTGTGGCCAAAGCCTCCGCTATTTGTACCCGTGTCTCCTATAGTAACCTTGGCTGCATCCCGTCCGGACCGGGCCACTTATCTACCTTTAGCCCAGTCAACCTTTTCAGTACTTCCTCTCTGTTTATACATATCCTATCCATTTTCTCTCCCCTCTCCTCCGATACTGCGGCATTTGGTGCATCCACTTCTTTTGTGAAGACAGATGCAAAGTACTCATTCAGCACATCAGCCGTGCCCTCTGCCTCCACAATAAGATTTCCCCCTTGGTCCTTAATTGGTCCCACCCTACCTTTGACTAATCTATTTTTCTTGATATGTTCGTAAAATATTTTAGAATTCCCTTCAATGTTATCCGCTAACCTTTTTTGTATGATCTTTTTGCCCCTCTTATTTCCTTTTTCAGACCTCTTCTGCACTTCCTATATTCTATTTGGTTGTCTTCTGTATCGTGGGTTTGACATTTGTCATACGCCTCCTTTTTCTGCTTCATTCTAGATACAATTACCTTCGTCATCCATGGAGGTTTGGAAGCCCTACTTTTCCCTTTTGTGGGAATGTATTTATTCTGTCCCCGAGCTATCTCATCCTTGAAGACTTCCCACTGCTCTTTAGTTGTTTTATCTGCCAATCTTTCTTTCCAGTCCACCTTGGCTAGGTCCCTTTTTAACTCACTGAAATTTGCCCTCTTCCAGTTGAATATCTTCACCTTAGATGGTTCCTTGTCTCTTTCCGTATGCACTTTGAATCTAATAATGTTATGATCACTATTGCCCAGATGCCCTCCCACTGAAACCTGCTCCACTTGCCCTATTTCATTCCCCAGAACTAGATACAGCACTGCTTCCTTCCTTGTTGGGCTGGAAATGTACTGATCAAGAAAGTTGTCCTGTATGAATTTTAGGAATCTTTCCCCCTCCTTGCCCTTTGCGCTGTTGTTTTGCCAGTCTATGTTGGGATAATTAAAGTCCCCCATTATCACGACTCTATTGGCCTTGCATCTGTCTGAGATCTGTTTGCAGATCTGCTCATCTATTTCCTTCCCACTATTTGGTGGTCTGTAGTATACCCCTACCAGGGTAACAGCTCCTTTTTTGTTCCTTAACTTTAACCAGATAGATTCCGTTTGGGGGCCCTCCAGCACCTCGACCCTTTCCACGGCTATAACCGTATCCTTGATTAACATTGCCACACACCCTCCTTTTTTCCTTCCTTATCCCTCCTGAATACATTATAGCCAGGAATATTCAGCTCCCATTCCTGTCCTTGCTTGAGCCAAGTCTCTGTTACTGCTACTACATCGTATTCCCCCTATGACCACTTGAGCTGCAGCTCACCAATCTTGTTTTCTAAACTCTGTGCATTTAGGTACATGCACTACAAGACCGACTTGACCTGTTCTGCACTTCCCCCGTTTTTTTTCTCCATTTTCCAGCTCACCGTTTTTTGCATTCCCTTCCCCCCTCAAAACTAGTTTAAACTCTCCCCAACAGCATTAGATAGCCTGTGTGTAAGGACATTCGCCCCAGCCCTGTTTAGGTGCAACCCATCCATATGATACGGGTCCCACCTGCCCCAGAACTGGTCCCAATGATCCAGAAACCTGAAGCCCTCTTTTTTGGACCATTTCTCCAGCTAAGCATTCATATGCCTGATCCTGCCATTCTGGAACTTATTTGCCCGAGGCATAGGGAGTAATCCAGAGATCACCACCTTGGATGTTCGATTCTTTATATGTTCCCCAGCTTTTGATATTGACCCTGTAGAGTCTCAGCCCTTTTTTGTAACCAATATCATGGATCCCCACCTGGACTACCACTTCTGGAGGTTCTCCTTCCCCCTGAAGAATTTTATCCACCCTTTCTGCGATGTCATCTGCAAACTTGGAAATGGTACTTGCTATACCCAAGTCCAGATCATAGGGAGAGAGGGGAAGAAAAAGGTGAGGTGCTCGAAGGAGGGGAAACAGGCAGAGGAGTAGGGGGTGAGACCAAGGGAGAAAACAAGGAGTAGGGATAAACGGGTCCTTCTCAGATTGGCGGGATGTGACCAGTGGAGTGCCACAATGATCAGTGCTTGGGCCTAAACTATTTACAATCTACATCAACGATCTAGATGAGGAAATAGAACTTAATATATCCAAATTCGCGGATGACACTAAACTAGGAGGGAGAGCAAACACCGACGATGACATTAAAAAAATACAACGAGATATAGATAGGCTAGATGAGTGGGCAAATAGGTGGCAGATGAAGTATAATGTAGGGAAGTGTGAGGTCATCCACCCAGGTGGCAAAAACAGTAGGGCAGATTATTTTTTAGAAGGGGAGACACTAGATAGTGTTAGCGTTCAGAGGGACTTGGGTGTCCTTGTACACCAGTCACAAAAAGTTAGTTTGCAGGTACAGCAAGCAGTTAGGAAGCTAATGGTGTGTTGGCATTTGTTACAAAAGGGTTAGAATATAAGAGTAGAGAAGTCTTGCTGCAACTGCACAGGGCCCTGATGAGACCACGCCTGGAGTATTGTGTGCAGTTTTGGTCTCCTTATTTAAGGATGTACTCGCCTTGGAGGCGGTACAACGTAGATTCACTAGGTTGGTACCAGGGATGAGAGGGATGAGTTATGAGGATAGTTTGAGCAATTTAGGCCTATATTCTCTAGAATATAGAAGAATGAGAGGTGATCTTATAGAAACCTATAAGATTATTAAGGGGCACGACAGAATAGACAGTGGGAGACTTTTTTCCCTGGTTGGAGAAACTATAAACGGGGGTCACAGTCTTAAAATTAGGGGTAAGTCCTTTCCTACTGAGTTGAGGAAAAACTTCTTCACTCAGAGGGCAGTGAATTTATGGAATTCTCTACCCCAAAGGGCTGTAGACGCTCAGTCCTCAAACATATTCCAGACTGAGATTGATAGATTTCTTGTGGATAAAGGGATTAAGGAATATGGGGATAAGGCGGGAGGTGAGGTTAGAATAGATCAGCCATGATCTTATTGAATGGCGGGGCAGGCTAGAGGGGCTGAATGGCCTCCTCCTTCTCCTAATTCTTATGTTGTCATGACACAGCTCCGAGCTGAGGCTCCGTGACACAGCTTTGCAGCCCCCAAATGCACAGCCCCCCAACACAAGGGCCCCCAACACACAGCCGCCCAACACACAGCCCTGCCCCCCCAACCCCCTCCCAACACACAGTACACCCAACACACAATCCCCCCAACACACAGATCCCCCCAACACACAGACCCCCTCCAACACACAGACCCCCTCCAACACACAGACCCCCTCCAACACACAGCTCCCACCATGCCACTCTGCCCCACAGTCTACAGAGTTAACTACACCAGACACACAGTCACTACATCAGAATTAGTCGTGAATCTCTTACCCGTCGTTGGAGCAGGTTAGGAATTCCTCTTTAACCTTCGGGTGCCAACAGCCACTGTTCAACATGGCCGTGTGGCCCTGTGCCAGGGAAAGAGACAGTGAGTACAACACCCGGCACCACCCCAAACAACAACACACTCACACAGCACCTTTCACGTCAGGACGATGTCCCAAGATGCTGGACAGTCAGGGAATTGGACCCGAGCTGGGAGTTGGGATCAGGAGGGATGGAGGGCAGGGAAGGAAGGGATAGGAGGGTGACCAAAGGCGCGGTTGAGAGGAGGGTCTTGAGACGGGTCTTGAAGGTGGCCCCACAGACCTCCCCTCCCACAGCACCGCCCTCCACAGACCTGCCCTACACAGCCCCCCTCCCATAGATTCACGAGGAGGAGAGACCGTGGGATGGAGTGGGAGCTGAGATGCTGAAGGCCTGCCCGTCAATGGGGGGCGGGCATTGGTGGGGCTGGCCAGGATCTGGAACTGTATCCTCTGTGTAATGGGGATCTAGTGGAGCCGATGAGGGTGAGGGTGATGGAGTCACAGAGCCTGATGTAGGAGGGGACACGAGCTGCAGAGTTCTAGATGACCTGCAGCCGCCTGTGGAGGGAAGACAATAAGGAGCGGGTTGCTGTAGTTGAGCCTAGATGTGATGAATGCCGGAAGGGTGAGGCAGTAGCAGAGCTGGGTGACGTTGCCGAGGTGGGGAAAGGCAGAACGGGTCATGGCACGGACACAAACCACCACCCCCCCACATTGCCCTGTGGTACCTTGGTGCGGGCCTGGTCCACGATGTACTGATCCCCCTTCACACACTCCAGGACCTGGAAGCCGTCTCGGTCGAGCACCTTGGCCTGAGCGTTCCCGGCCACACACAGAATCACGTCCCCCGTCACACTGTACTGTAGGGCCTTAATGTGGTGACTGCAGAGAGAGACAGTCATCAGTGAGAACCCCCCCACAGACCTTCCCCCACCCACCGCCCCCCACCCACAGCCCCCCCACCCACAGCCCCCCTCCAATAGCCCCCACCCGCAGCTCCACAGCCCCCCCACCCACAGGCCCCCCCATCCCACAGCCCTCCTACCCACTCTCACCCACAGCACCCCCCACCCACAGCACCCCCCACCCACAGCACCCCATTCCCACAGCCCCACCCGCCACAGACCTGCCCCCACGCACAGCACCCCCCCTCCCACACCAGCCCCCCCCCACTCACAGCCACCTCTCCCACAATAGCCCCCCCCTCCCACAGCCCCCCTTCAACAGCCCCGCCCCTTTCGCAAAGCCCACCCACTGCTCCCCAAAGACCTCCCCTCCCACAGCCCCGCCCTCCACAGACCTGCCCTGCACAGCCCCCCTCCCACAGACCGCATACTGCTCCCCTTACACTGTCCCCCCACACTGCTCGCCCCACTGCCCCCCCAACACTGCTCGCCCCCCTCGCCCCCCCACACTGCTCGCCCCACTGCCCCCCCACACTGCTCGCCCCACTGCCCCCCCACACTGCTCGCCCCACACTGCTCCCCACACACTGACTCCCACACTCCCCCCCCAAACCTTTGAATCTCTAAACCTGGACTCACTGAGACTATAACTTTGACCCCCCACTCCCCATGATGACCCACGCCAGCAGCTAACCAGGCCTCGCTGCCCCCCCACACCGCACCATTTGCTCTTACTCTCGGTGTGCACATTTTAGCTGCCGCCACTGACCCAAGCTGTTTCTCCATAATGCTCCCACCTTTGTCTGCCACCGTCCTCTAATCCTGATCTAATCACTAATCCTCTTCTCCCCGACTCCTGTCCCTGCTCGACCGACCCACAGCCTCCCTCTGCTCCAGCCTGCAAATCCTCCGTCAGGCCGACCGCAAGGCCCATCGGTCCCTGACCCCGGGGGCCAACCTCTCCTCCCTCATCCACATCCCCACCTTCCGTGTCGGACCTCCCCCCCCTCTCCCCCACATTCCGCCACCAACCAACTGTCCCCTCCGCATCGGCCGACAGAATGTCCGCTCCCTCTTCAATAAAAGACCATCCAAGACCTCAGTGTCGAGGAAAACATCGACATCCTCATCCTCACTGAAACCTGGGTCACTCCAGGCGACACCTTCCCCGAGAGAGGCCATACCACCCGGCTACACCTTCCAACATACCCCATGACCTAACCGCCGTGGTGGCAGTGTGGCTCTCATCTCTAGGTCCCCACTCGGCCTATCCCCTTACACTTCTGGAACCTGCCGCTCCTTTGAGCACTTTACCCTTTATCGCACTCCAACCTTTCCCTCAAAATTCTCCTTATCTATCATCCCCCCAGACCTGCCCCACCTTTCTCCCCGACATCTCCATCCTCCTATCTTCCCTCTCCCTCTGCTCTGAACACCTCCTCAACCTGGGCAACTTCAACCTTCACTTCACCCAGATTTTTGGTAGGTCAGGGATTAAGAGATATAGGGAGAAAGCGTATGGGGAGAAATGGAATTGAACGGATTAGTTGAAGTACAGATCAGACAAGATCTAATTAAATGGCGGAACAGGCTCCAAGGGCTGAATGGCCTCCCGCAGCTCCTGTGTTCCCTCCTGCTCTATCTGCATCTGCGCTTCCCCACCCCCCGCAACATGGCCCGACTCCCCCGCTGTCTCACACCGCAGCCCCCGAGACCCTCACACACCCCTCCATTACAGCCAGACTCCACTATAATAATAATAATAATAATCCTTGCATTTGATATAGCGCTTTTCACGTCGGGAGGACGTCCCAAAGCGCTTCACAGAACACACTGTAAAGTGAATTGACTGTATATTTGTGGGCGAACGCGGCAGCCAATTGCGCACAGCAATGTCCCACAAACAGTCGTAGATTGAAAATGACCAATTTATTATTGTTTTTGGTTTTGGAGGGAATATTATTAGGCTCTGTGTGGAGTAAGGAAACTTGCCCAAGGTTTCCTATGCAAACTCCCTGTTTGTCGGCCTCCAACTCCTCCCTCCACAGACTGCAGATCATCCCGAACTAACTCTGCAGCCCATGTCCTCTCCCCCACCCCATCACCCCCATCCTCACCCCCACCAGTCTCCCCGACCCCATCACCCCCATCCTCACCCCCACCAGACTCCTGACCCCATCAACCCCATCACCCCCATCCTCACCGAACCCCACTGGCTTCCCATCACACAGAAGATCCTGATCCTCACCTTCAAAGCCCTCCATGGCCTCGCTCCCCCCCCGACCTCTACCATATCCTAACCCCCTACCAACCTGCTCACTCCCTCCGCTCAACGGGCTCTGGCCTGCTTCACGTCCCCCACCTCGCTCACCACACTATTGGCGGGCGGGCCTCCTGCCACTCTGCCCCCACCCTGTGCAACTCCATCCCTCAGTCCCTCCGTCTCGCCCCCTCCCTCGTCCCCTCCCTCACCCCCTCCCTTGCCACCTTCAAGACCCATTTCAAGACCCTCCTCTTCGACCGTGCCTCCGAACATCCTTGTTCCCCCCTTCCCCTCCATCCTCCCCGATCCCGAGCCCCAGCTCAGGTCCAAAACACTGATTGTCCAGCGGACGTCCTCCTGACGTGAAAGGCACTTTACAAATGTAATTTTGTTGTTGTTGTTGCCCCCCAAAACTGCCGACCCACACTGCTCCCCCGCACACCGCTCCCCCCATATTGTTCCCCCTCACATTGCTACCCCACCTCCTCACACTTCTCCCCAATCCCCACAGCCCCAGCAAACACCCCCACCGCCCCCATCCCCCCCGCCCCTTGTAGCTGAAGCTCAGACAGGAGTTGGGAGTAGCTCTCACCATTCACACGGCTGCAGACATCGAAACGCCTGCACAGACGAGTCCATCCCAGCGAAATCCCACAGCTTCACCTCATAGTCATAGCCTCCGCTGACCAGCCGTGCCCCAGAGGGGTCTAGCGCCAGGGCCGACACCTAGGAACATAGGAATATAACAATATAATATAGTGATGGAAAATAATAAAAAAACTATACCAATAAAGACCAAGTGTCTGTCTGTCTGTGTATCCGACAATCACGTGATAACCAATTGACGTGATTTATACCATATTGGAAAGGTCTTGCTTCTGGCAGTGTCGTGGGCATTTTTTTGTGTGGGATCTCCTAATCGTTGAAGAGCTATATTAAAAAATGCTTTAATTAAGCCCCAACATATGAAAGTTATGCATTGTATTCTGCAACTATGTAGTGACACAAGAAAGCACATTCAGAGAGATACATGAGGGTGGGGGAGACAGGCTGAGGGGGGAGAGAGGCTGAGGGGTGGGAAGAGGGGCTGAGGGGGGAGCGGGGCTGATGGGAGAGGGGCTGACATGGGAGGGGGCTGAGTGGGGCGGAGCTGAGGGGGGAGGGATTGAACTCACGTTTTTGTTGCCATGCTGCAGTGTGATTTCGTGAGAGTCTGGAATTCGTTTCACAATGTCCTGGGGGAATAAAGGTCAACATGAAAGACTTGTAAGAAAGATAGAAGCCAATGGTATAAAAGGGACAGTGGCAGCGGATCCAGAACTCACTGGGAGACAGAGAGCAGAGAGTTGTGGTGAACGGCTGCTTTTCTGACTGGAGGGACGTGTACAGAGGTGTCCCCCAGGGATCGGTATTAGGACCACTGCTCTTCCTAATATACATAAATGATCTGGACTTGGGTATAGCAAATACCATTTCCAAGTTTGCGGACGACACAAAGTTAGGGAGAGGGTAACCAGTGAGAAGGATAGGAGCCGACTGCAGGAAGACATAGACAGATGGTAAAATGGGCGACACGTGGCAGATGAGTTTCAATGTGAAGTAATGCATTTTGGTAGAAAGAATGAGGGGCAATATAGGCAGTAATACAATCTTAAGGGGGGGTGAAGGAACAGAGAGACCTGGGGGGGCAGGTAACTGGATCCTTGAAGGTGGCAGGACAGGGAGATAAGGCTGTAAAGGGGCATATGGGACACTGGGCTTTATAAATAGGGGCATAGAGTACAAGAGTCAGGAGATGATGATTAACCCATATAAACACTGGTTAGGCCTCAGTTAGAATACGGCCCCAGTTCTGGGCCCCACACTATAGGAAGGACGTTAAGGCATTGGAAAGGGTACAGAGGAGATTTACGAGGATGGGACCAGGAATGAGGGACCGTGATGATGAGGAAAGGCCGGAGAGGCCGCGATTATTCTCATTGGAGCAGAGAAGGTTACGAGGACCTAATAGAGGTCTTCAACATCATGAGGGGATTTGATGGGTTAGAGAGGGACAAACTGTTCCCACTGGTGGGTGTGTCGGTGACTCGAGGTCACAGATTGAGAATAGTCTCTGAAGGAAGCCGAGGGGAGGGGAGAAGACAGTGCTTCACGCAGCGCGTTGTGGGAATCTGGAACATCGCCTGATATGATTCTATGAACATGTAGGTTAGGGCCTCCCTGTGGCTATACGCAGCACCTCCCTATGGCTATACACTATACACTGCACCTCCCTGTGGCTTTACACTACACACAGCACCTCCCTGTGGTATACACTACACAGCACCTCCCTGTGGTATACACTATACACAGCACCTCCCTGTGGCTATACGCAGCACATCCCTGTGGTGTACACTATACACAGCACCTCCCTGTGGCTATACACAGCACCTCCCTGTGGCTATACACAGCACCTCCCTGTGGCTATACACAGCACCTCCCTGTGGCTATACACAGTACCTCCCTGCGGCTATACACAGCACCTCCCTGCGGCTATACACAGCACCTCCCTGTGGCTATACACAGTACCTCCCTGTGGCTATACACAGCACCTCCCTGCGGCTATACACAGCACCTCCCTGTGGCTATACACAGTACCTCCCTGCGGCTATACACAGCACCTCCCTGCGGCTATACACAGCACCTCCCTGCGGCTATACACAGCACCTCCCTGCGGCTATACACAGCACCTCCCTGCGGCTATACACAGCACCTCCCTGCGGCTATACACAGCACCTCCCTGGGGCTATACACAGCACCTCCCTGGGGCTATACACAGCACCTCCCTGGGGCTATACACAGCACCTCCCTGCGGCTATACACAGCACCTCCCTGTAGTATACACTATACCTAGTAATCAGGAGTAATCCAGAAAAGGGACGGATTAGACAGGGGAGGGATCTATCAGCCCCTCGTCTGCCTGTTCCCTTCGCCTCACCGTCTCCCTTGCCTCCTTCAAGACCCGTCTGAACACCCTCCTCTTCGTGCTTTCAGCCACCCTCCCTGCCGTCCATCCCTGCTGATGCCGATCCCCAGCTCGGGTCCAAATCCCTGACTGTCCAGCGCCTTAGGACGTCCTCCCGATGTGAAAGTGCCGTATAAATTTGTTGTTGTTGATCTGTATCAGCGCCTCACTGATACCAACAACAACTTATTTTTACACAACGCCCCTCATGCAGATTAGAGTCCCAGAGCGCTTGACAGTGGCGGAGAACACTGGGTTTAAAGGGTTAAATTATGAGGACCGGTTGCATAAACTTGGTCTCTATTCCCTCGAGTTTAGAAGGTTGAGGAGTGATTTGATTGATGAGTTTAAAATAATAAAAGGATTTGATAGGGTACATACAGAGAAGCTATTTCCTCTGGTGGGGAATCCAGAACAAGGCATCATCTTAAAATTTAGAGTTTGGCCATTTAGCAGTGAAATCAGGAGATAGTTTTTCACCCCAAGGGTAGTGGAAATGTGGAATTCTCTCTCTGGCCCAAAAGGCTGTGGATGCTGGATCCAATCATATTTTTAATATTGAGGTGGATAGATGTTTGTTAGTTCAGGGTATCACGGATATAGGATAAGAGCGGGTAACTGGATTTGAGGTACAGGTGAGCCATGATCCTATAGAATGGCGGTACAGGCTTGAAGGGCTGAATGGCCTCCTCCTGTTTCTCCGTCCCCTCCCTCCTCCCCTGTGTAACACTAATTAGTGAGAAAATGAATCCCTCACCTCCTCCTCCTCGTCGCTCTGTGCCTCTTCGTCGCTCTGTGCCTCCTCGTCGCTCTGTGCTTCCCCGTACCCCGGGGGAAGTGGAGGGCCGATCTCTTGCTCCTGTGCCAGGGGGGATTTGTCACTGTCTGTGTCACTGCCCGTGTCTGTGTCAGTGTCTGTGTCACAAGGAGACCTCCTGCACACAACAACACTTCGCATTTAGATAATACAACAAGATTGCATTTATAGAGCACCTTTCACGTCAGGAGGACGTCGCAAGGCGCTGGACAGTTGGGTCAGGACCCGAGCGGGGGGAAATGGTCAGGGTGAGAGGAGGGAGCGAGGAGGGGGGAAATGGTCAGGGTGAGCGGAGGGAAGGGAGGGAGCGAGGAGGGGGGGAAATGGTCAGGGTGAGCGGAGGGAAGGGAGGGAGTGAGGAGGGGGGAAATGGTCAGGGTGAGCGGAGGGAAGGGAGGGAGCGAGGAGGGGGGGAAATGGTCAGGGTGAGCGGAGGGAAGGGAGGGAGCGAGGAGGGGGGAAATGGTCAGGGTGAGGGGAGGGAAGGGAGGGAGCGAGGAGGGGGGAAATGGTCAGGGTGAGGGGAGGGAAGGGCGGGAGCGAGGAGGGGGGAAATGGTCAGGGTGAGGGGAGGGAAGGGAGGGGGCGAGGAGGGGGTAGAGAGTCAAGAGGGGAGCTGAAGGCATGGTCAAAGAGACCGGCCTTGAAGGAGGAAAGGGAGGAAGCGGCGAAGGCACTGGGGGATAGAGCTCCAGAGCCTCGGGGCTGAGAGGCTGAAGGCCACCGATGGTAGGGCGGTTGGGGCGGGGGATGTGGAGCAGCCCGGAGCCAGAGGAACGGAGGGTACGGGGGGGCGGTACGTGGGGGTATAGTAGGTCGGAGAGGTAGGAGGGAGCGAGGCCATGAATGGCCTTGTAGGTGACGATGAAGATCTTGAATTCGATCCTCTGGTGGATGGGGAGCAGTGGAGGCGAGTGAGGGTGGGAGTGGGAGTGAGGGCGAAGGTGGGAGTGATGTGGGCGCGATGCCTGGTGGGGGACAGTACACGAGCTGCAGAGTTCTGAATGACCTGCAGTGTGGTCAGGGCCGGGAAGCCTGGCGAGGAGAGAGTTCCCATAGTCCAGCCTTGAGGTGATAAAGGCGCTGACACCATCAGCATCCAAGGCTGCACTCTCCACCTCTCAAAGCCATCAGGTACCTCGGGGTTCTGTTCGACCCTGAACTGTCCTTTCTTCCTCAAATCCGCACCACAACTGGCACCGCCTTCCATCACCTCCGAAACATCAATCCCACCCTCGCCCTCAACCTCACCCTCACTCCCACCCTCGCCCTCACTCCCACCCTCGCCCTCACTCCCACCCTCGCCCTCGCCCTGGCTCGCCTCCACTGGCTCCCCATCCCCCAGAGGATCCAATTCAAGATCCTCATCCTCACCTCCAAGGCCATTCACGGCCTCGCTCCCTCCTCCCTCTCCGACCTACTATCCCCTTACCTACCCTCTCCGTTCCTCTGGCTCCGGTCTGCTCCACATCCCCCGCCCCAACCGCCCGACCATCGGTGGCCTTCAGCCTCTCAGCCCCGAGGCTCTGGAACTCTATCCCCCAGTGCCTTCGCCGCTTTCTCCCTTTCCTCCTTCAAGGCCGGTCTCAAGGCCTTTCTCTTTGACCTTCAGCCTTCAGCTCCCCTCTCGACTCTCTACCCCCTCCTCGCTCCCTCCCTTCCCACCCCTCACCCTGACCATTTCCCCCCAATGCTCGGGTCCTGACCCAACTGTGCAGCGCCTTGGGACGTCCTCCCGACGTGAAAGGCGCTCTATAAATGGAACCTTGTTGTTGTTGTTGTTTTGTTGCAATTCCCCGTCCCCCACCTTTTGTTCTGCAGTATTAACACCTCTATTCCCTGCTTTGTTCTAAATCAATAACACCTCTTCAACCCATCATCCCTTGTCCTGTACCCCATTTTCTCCTTTATCTTCCTTGTCCTGCCTCCCCCCTCTCTTCTCTTCAACCATGCCTTCACCTCCCCTCTCGACTCTCTACCCCCTCCTCGCTCCCTCCCTTCCCTCCCCTCACCATTTCCCCACAGCTCAGGTCCCGACTCAACTGTCCAGCACTTTGGGACATCCTCCCGACGTGAAAGGCGCTCTATAAATGCAATCTTGTTGTTTTCATAGAATGTTACGACACAGAAGGAGGCCATTCGGCCCATCGAGTCTGTGCGGCTCTTTGACAGAGCAACCGATTTTCACTAACCCCAATCACCAGCTTTCTCCCCATAACCCCACAAACCCGTCTTCCCCGATACCTATCCAGTTCTCTCTTAAAAGCTGTTATCGAATCGGACTTCACTGCCCTTTCGGGCGGATCATTCCAAATCCCAACAACTCTCTGAGTGAAAACATTTCTTCTAACCCTCCCCTCTGCTTCTTTTGGTAGATATCTTAAGACTGTGACCACGAGTCACAGACACACCAACCAACGGAAACAGCTTTTCCCTATCTCGCCTGTCGAAACCTTTGTTGTTGTTGTTGTTGTTAGCTCTTAAAAGCCTCTCCCTCCCAACATGCTCCAGTTCTGACGAAGGGTCGTGGACCCAAAACGTTGACTCACTTTTCTTTCTCTGTAGTTGCTGCCTGACCTACTGAGGGTTCCCAGCAACTTCTGGTTTTGTTTCAGGTTCCCAGCGACTGCAGTATTTTGCATTTTGTGGGTAACTTTGCTGAGCTTAACAGCAGTACAATAAATTGAGGAATTGTTTGACATGTCCCAGATTACAATAGGGAAGGGATGATCTAATTTAACTGGTATCGGAGCTGGATAAACATTCCTTGGGATGGACTGTCTGACTCCATTCTGATCTCACGACAAGCGTTTCATTAATCACAGTAGATTCTCACAATGACTGAAAGAGGCTCACTTTTGTTTGAGTCAGCCAGGTGTTTGACACGTGCGGAAACCCATCACTGTATTTAAGAATATTCGAAACAGCTTGAGAGTTACACATATATATGCCACTTATGCAAACAGGAGATCACAAGATTGGTTTGGATGAAGAAGGAATTTTATCTGTGGAATCCTGTAACTTAGTGCTTAGAGCACTCACACCGCAAGCGAGAGGATCTGGGTTCGATTCCTGGGCAGGGCGAAACGTTGGGCAGGTTTCTTTACTCCACACACCTCTGTTTACCTAACAGTAAGTAGGAACCCAGTTGTTAGTCGATTGGTGGATCGCTTTTCCTAGGATAATAATCCCTTCAAAATAATAAAATAATAATATTAATTTGGTTATTTTCAATCCCGACTGTTTGTGGAACGCTCACTGTTGTGCGCAATTGGCTGCCGCATTTCACCCACAAAATATACAATCAATTCAATTTCAGTCTATTCTGTGAGAGGTCTAGAAGATGTAATATTATATATTATTGGGTCATTGACATCGCTGTGAGCTTCCTGGTGGGCAACACAGCTCAGTGTGAAGTGTGTGAGATCGCGTGGGGGGGGGGAAATGGGGGGCAGAGTGAGGAGAGGCTTATACCTGGTTCTGTGTCTCAGCTCCTCGTTCCCGGCATTGTTCTCTTCCTCTGAGAGATCAGACAAACTCAGTCACATTGATCACCACCCCCGCCCGTCCCCCAACCCCACTCCCCCCGCCAACTGCTCTCCCCACCGAAACCCACCTATCCCACCCCCAAAAACCCACGCACCCCCTATCCCGCTCCCCCCAATCCCAAATCCCACTGACCCCCTATCCCAATCAATCTCCAAATCCCACCCCCCCAATCCCATCCCCTGCCAAATCCAGCAACTCCTCCCCCCAACCCCACTCCACTGCCCCCGTATCCCCACCCCATCCCACTGCCTCCCAATCCCCCCCAGTTCCACTGCCCAGCCCCATTCACCTAACCCCAATTCCCCCAATCCCACTCCCCCATCTCACTGCGCCCAATGCCACTCCCTCCTCAAATCCCACGCCCCCCAAAACTCACCCACTCCCTAATTTCACTCCCCCCAATCCCACTCCCTCCCCAAATCCCACCCCTGTGTTACCCCGGACTCTGCGGCTCCTCTCGATGGCTGTACGACGCGTTTGCTCAAATATTGCTTCAAAGTCAAATGTCCGAGCTTTCTTTCCTGAGGAAATATTAAGCAATCTGCATTGTTACTGTATCCTGAGCAAGGATAATGCTTCACCCTCCCCAGCGCTCACACACCCTCCCCAGTGTCTCACACACACCCTCCCCAGCGCTCACACACCCTCCCCAGTGTCTCACACACACACCCTCCCCAGCGCTCACACACCCTCCCCAGTGTCTCACACACACACACCCTCCCCAGTGCTCACACACCCTCCCCAGTGTCTCACACACACACCCTCCCCAGCGCTCGCACACACTCTCCCCGGTCTCACACACACACCCTCCCCAGTGTCTCACACATACCCTCCCCAGTGTCTCTCACACACCCTCCCCAGCACTCACACACGCACCATCCCCGGTCTCACAAACACACTCTCCCCGGCCTCACACACATATCCTCCCCAGTGTCTCCTAGCGCTCACACACACACCCTCCCCGGTTTCACACACATACCCTTCCCAGTGTCTCACACACACACCCTCCCCCGTCTCACACACACACCCTCCCCAGTGTCTCACACACACACCCTCCCCAGCACTCACACACACACCCTCCCCGGTCTCACACACACACCTTCCCCGGTCTCACACACACACCCTCCTCAGTGTCTCACACACCCTCCCCAGCACTCACACACACACCCTCCCCGGTGTCTTGCACACACCCCCTCCCCAGTGTCTGCACACACCCCCTCCCCAGTGTCTCGCACACACCCCCTCCCCATTGCCTCGCACACACACCCTCCCCAGTGTCTCACATCCTATAGTGCAGTGGTTAGAGCACTAGACTCATAAGGTAGACGACCAGGGTTTGATACCCAGGCAGGGTGAAAGTTTGGGTAAGTTTCCTTACCACACGCGCCTCTGCTTATCTAAGAACCCAGTTCTTAGTCGATTGTCAGATCGCTTTTCTGGGGGTAACAATCCATCCAAAATAATAACTTAGTCACTCAATCCACAATTGTTCGTGGACACTGCTATAATAATAATAATAATCCTTGCATTTGATATAGCGCTTTTCATGTCAGGAGGACATCCCAAAGCGCTTCACAGAACACACTGTAAAGTGAATTGACTGTATATTTGTGGGCGAACTGCTGTGCAGTTAGCTGCCACAATTTGCCCACAAATATACAGTGAATTCACATGTCGCGCTTTAAGACGTGTCGAAGGATTATTACCCCTGGAAAAGCGATCCTCCAAATGATAACAACTGGGTTCCTGCTTACTGCTGGATAAACAGAGGCGAGTGGAGTAAAGAAACTTGCCCAACGTTTTGTCCTGCCGGGAATCAAATCTCTCGCTTGCGAGGCAAGCGTTCTAACCACTAAGCTACTGGACTCCACATGTTGTTTGTCACGGGGAGCAGGCCACATGCAGAATCCCATTACCATGTTAGAGTCAGCACAGAGCGACCAGACTGACAGAGCTGCAGGTGTGAATTACAGTTACATTTTATACAGAACTCCCTTCATGTCGGGACGGTGTCTGAAAGTGCATTCACAGCTCTGCCTGGGCACCGGGGAGGAGGGGAAAGATTACGGTCAAAGAGAAAGGACTTGAAACAGACCTTGAACGCGGTGAGGGAGGGAACGAGTCAGAAGGACTTTGGGATGGCGTTCCAGAGAGTAGGAGAGGGGGGGAGAAGGGAAAGGAGGGGAGGGGGGGTTGAATCCTGTAGCTCAGTGGTTAGAGCACTCGCTTTGCAAGTGAGAGACCTGAGTTCAATTCCAGGCAGAGGGCGAAACCTTGGGCAAGTTTCCTTACTCCACACAGAGCCTAATAATAATCCCTCCAAAAACCCAAACCAATAATAAATTGGTCATTTTCAATCTACGACTGTTTGTGGGACATTGCTGTGCGCAATTGGCTGCCGCGTTCGCCCACAAATATACAGTCAATTCACTTTACAGTGTGTTCTGTGAAGCGCTTTGGGACGTCCTCCCGACGTGAACAGCGCTATATCAAATGCAAGGATTATTATATTATTATTATAATCTTGTGCCACTTACCGAATCCTGAGAATCCCATCACGGAGACCAGAGCGGCATCCGCATCTCCATCGGTGTCTGAGGCACCAGCCATCCCCTGGCCTGGAGCAGAGACAGGCAATCAGAGACAGGGAGAGAGACAGGGAGAGAGAGACAGGGAGTCAGAGACAGGGAGAGAGCGAGACAGGGAGTCAGAGACGGAGAGAGAGAGGGAGAGAGAGACAGGAAGTCAGAGACAGGGAGCGAGAGACAGGGAGAGACAAGGAGTCAGAGACGGAGAGAGAGAGGGAGAGAGAGACAAGGAGAGAGAGACAGGGAGTCAGAGACGGGGAGAGAGAGGGAGAGAGAGAGACGGGGAGAGAGAAACAGGGAGAGAGAGACAGGGAGTCAGAGACGGGGAGAGAGAGGGGGGGAGAGAGAGGGGGAGGAGGGAGAGAGAGAGAGGGAGAGAGAGAGACGGGGAGAGAGAGAGATGGGGAGAGAGAGAGACGGGGAGAGAGAGACAGGGAGAGAGAGAGACGGGGAGAGAGAGAGACGGGGAGAGAGAGAGGGAGAGGACAGGGAGAGAGAGAGACGGGGAGAGAGAGAGACGGGGAGAGAGAGAGGGAGAGAGAGACAGGGAGAGAGAGAGACGGGGAGAGAGAGAGACGGGGAGAGAGAGAGAGAGGGAGAGTGACAGGGAGAGAGAGAGACGGGG